TTCATGAATTAAGAATATTACATTATTCGAAACATCTAACTTTGACTGATTCTAGGTATTCTCTACTATATATGTTGATATATAAATATTTATAATAGCTTGATTCTAAATTGTGATTATAAAGCCTCACAGAATCTTTGCAACATTTTAAAAATAATTTTTTCAATTATTGTATCAAAATATTATATCATTTATTTATTATTATATTGTAAAATTATCTATTATTAAATGAAATGTTAAATATTGCTGTATTTTATAGGGGTCAAAGGTGCACAAGTAGAAGAATTATGGAGTTTGGATGATGAACAATTCAATGAGTTGATGTAAGCTTATTTTGTGTAACATTGACACTGTAATTTTTGTGGTATTTGAAAGACATTTGTACATGAAGGATAAGATATATTCTTGATAACTAATCTTTTTGCTGTTTTTCCTGTTTTTTTTTTCAGAATGTTTTCATATGTATTTGATTTCCTTTAAATATATAAATAAGAAAAATATACATAGATATGAAAAGTGATAAATATAGGACACTAGTTTAGATGATATTAATATCTTAATATGTTAATTTTTATGTGTAATTTTTTTTAATTGTTACAAATTCTTTTTTCTTTTAGGCCTATTCATGGTTTAATATTTTTATTCAAATGGGTACAAGATGATGAATTATCAGGGAATATTGTACAAGATAACAGATTGGACAAAATATTCTTTGCAAAACAGGTATGTAAAATATAAAATAGATATCTTAAATAAATATACTACTAACTTAGAAATAGAAAATTATTTTAATAATAAATTAAATATAATTATTATTAATTTTGTTTTTTTACAATATAAAAATATAAAAGAATTAGAATATAAAATATTTGGAACATAAAAAAAATGACACAGATTATATTATTTTATGGAATCTATATTTTGAGATAATTAACAGATAATAGTTACTTCCCATTTACATAAGTGAAACTGAGTCTGAAGTGAACTGAATATTTGATACTCAAATTAATGACGTTATTTGCTTACTTTGGTAAAAAGTTATCACATGACAATATAGGTTTATTTCTTGGAGAAAGAGAAATTTAACTTTTTGAGTTTTGCCTATAATCTGCACAAGATCAAGATGATTATAAGAAGCGTATCACATAACAACAAAGATTCATCTCTCAAAGAGATTTGTATGTATTGTACTTCTCACAATAACACGGTCTCGATGTGCAGATTATAGGCAAAAACTTAGTTAAATCTCACTTGTCACATTGCAAAAGAAACGCATTTAACTGAGTTATGTCACAAGTGAGAATTATTTGAAAATCGATGTAAATGGAAAGTAACTATTAATTCATGGAATTAATTCGTGGAATTTATTGAATATAAAAAATTTTTAATGTGAGACTTAAAAAAGATAACATTTAATTTAGGTAATAAATAATGCTTGTGCGACCCAAGCAATATTGAGTGTTTTATTAAACTGTAAGCATGTAGACATATCTCTCGGACCAAACTTAGAAGAATTTAAAAATTTCTGTCAAAGCTTTGATGCAAATATGCGTGGACTTGCACTTAGTAATTCTGATGTTATAAGAGAAGTACATAATTCCTTCTCTAGGTATTTTATATTACATATATATTTTTTAACCATTAAATATTTATTGTTTACGTTAAAGAAAATTTTTATTGTTTAAAAATATTTATTGTTTACATTAAAGAAAATTTATTATACACTAAAATTTTAGACAAACATTATTTGAATATGACTCAAAACAGGCATCTAAGGATGATGATGTGTTTCATTTTGTGAGTTATGTTCCAATTGATGGTCGTTTATACGAATTAGATGGATTGAAAGATGGGCCAATTGATCTGGGTCCGTGTTCAGTAGGGAAACAATGGGTACAAGCTGCGAAACCTATAATTCAAAAACGGATAAACAAGTAAGTTACAAAATGTAGCTTTCTCAATAACTTGCTATATGTGTGTATATGTGTGTATGTATATACACATATACATACATACATACATATATATTTAATATTATATATTGCTATCAAGTATAGAAACAAAAATTATTAAACAGGTATAACGAAGGCGAGATTCATTTCAATTTAATGGCTATAGTGACAGATAGAAAAACTTTATATGAAAGACAGAAGGCCAATGTTTGTGATCCTGAAGAATTAGAACGTCTACAAGCCTTAATTGAGGAAGAGATTAGAAAATCAAAGAGATATCAAATAGAGAATATCAGAAGAAAGCATAATTATTTACCACTTATCATGGAACTTTTGAAGATTCTTGCTAAAGAAGGCAAACTTGTGTCTTTGTATCAGAAAGCAAAAGAGAAAGCACTTGAAAAGGAGTCAAAGAAAAATAAAGTTTAAATTTAAATTTAAATGAGACTAAGAGAAAGGTAATTTAATATATTTGGTATTGATTTGATTTGTGTATTGTAACCAATGAAAAGAATTTATTGTATCAATCTCCTTATAAAAATAAAACTTATTTCTACTCGTAATAAAATTTTTTATAAAATAATTTTAAATAATACATTTAAAAATAATATAGTCATATGTATTTATATTAATTTAACATATTTGAAGTATACGATGAAATTATATATTAATTATATAATTGTATAATTGTATAATTTAGATACAAAAAGATAAATAGTATAATTGCATAATGCTTTTTTTATACAAACTAATTATCAGTAGAATTAGTATTGTTACTAGTTTCCGTTATTTAGCAAAGAAATTTTCCCCATTTTCATAGATAATTCTAGGTAAGAATTTATCGGTATGTGCATTTTGAATTTCAGGAAACTTAGTATGATATAAATGTTCCACAATATCTGTAACACAAAAATTGAAATGTAACATATACACGAGTACAAATTATATTTACAAATATAAATTAGATATTTCGTTACCGGCGAAATTATCAATCATCATTTTGCATTCTTGAACAAGATAAAAAACTTTGTAAAGGAATACTGCAGTTGCTCCGTCAAAGTGTTGCGCAACATGGGCCATATAATTTCGCGAGTATTGGATATTCCTTTTATATACATACTGCAAAAATAAGTATATGCGTTTGTATAGTATATAGTGCGATTCAACAAAATTTGTGATCTGTTAAAAGCAATCTAAATGATACTCAATACATATTGTACTACAATAATAGTTATAGAATGATATTTACTATTCAATTAATTGTTAATGTCGTTTAAATAAATAGGACCCGTGTTGAATAATTGCAGGTGTAACTGATGCTGCCAAAATGTTCTTAAGACATTCTCGTTTATATTAAGATTTTCCTCCATTTTTTACCATATTGATTTAGGAAGCACGGCATCTTTAAGTTCTTTTATATCTTTACTTATTGTCACACTGAGTAAAGTTTTTATAAATTTTTTGATCAGTGGTAATGTCCATTTAACGTCAACTAACGCTGTAATTAAACAATTTGATAGTACACATATATGAATACTAAGTATCTAGAAATAATAATAGTAATCTAGAAATAATAAACAATGTTCAATAAGAAAGAACATATCGCTTTTTTATTTCAAAAGTGATATAATTAAAAAAATATGATCTTCGAGTTATTACTATGAATGTGTTAAGGAGAAACCTCATCAGTTATGAAGAGTAAATTAATTTAACTTTATAAAAAGTTAAAAAATTGTAACAACTCAAAAAGAATGGTTCTTTAAGAATGACATGAAAGCGACAAAAATTAATCATGTTAAAAATATATTCTTTTTACCGATATTATTTAACAATTTTCTGTTACGTTAACAAAGTTTTCCCCTTTTTTTTGGGAAACTTAATTTTTTAAGTGGAAACTTTTGAAGTGGAAAGAGTTAATATCATAAAAGTGACTTACATTCCGTTTCTGATTTATCTAGAATTTGATTTTTGGGATATTTATATCGTTTAAAAATCGATAGGCTGGTTCGTCTTAGTAATTTAGCTAATTCACTATATTTGGCATAACGTTTATCAAGATATTCATTTTCTACGTTAACGTAGAATTTTTTACGTTAAAATTTTTTTATCTTCCTTAGCAATATAACTGTAGCATAAAAATCATTGTGAACATGAATTAAAATGATTTGATGATCAATTCGAACTTGATTTGAGAGTTTTATATCTTACCGAGCGTAAGTGATTTTATTACAATATAATACTTTAAATCTAGAATAAACACTATAAAGATTTCGCCAAGGTAATCCATTTGACAAAAATTGAACGAATTTTTGTCTTTCTTCTATGTTGTTTATATAATATCTTCCATTGTGTCTCCAAGAAAGAAATGGCTTCGGATTCTCTGGATCCCAGTCATGATATATTACATGGAAAAATATATTAATACAATAATGTAATTATATCATTCTATGATATTGTAATATCTTGCATTTTGAATATTTTCGTTCTCAAGTTGGAAATTCTGAAGGAAACATCAGAAGGAAGTTTATAGATAACGGTTAGCAAGGACTATTAGCTTATTGTGTCAAATATATATGTCTGTCAAACAATCGGTATTTTTTATTAGACATAAGGTTATCTCAAATATTGCAGATAAGTTATTTTTTTATTTATTATTTATTTTAAAAACTTAAAATATATATACCTCGCAGAATGTGTTCTAGTTTTTCTTGATAATTTTATCCTCCATAGGTCTAAATAAACCTTTTCGAATTGGTCCATATTTCTGAAATAATATTTTCTCTTTCATTGTTGGCGCATGAGATCCAGAAAGCTCTATTTTATATTGTAGTGGTACCTTATGTATTAATTTTATATGTAGTTCTAGCAGTTTCTGAAATATAAAATAATTAGTTTTTATAAGACAAATAAATTATATATGATATTTAAAATATAACAATCAAAATTAATCAAAATAATGAGATCAAAAGTTATGAACCAATAAACAATGAAATGTAATAACCACTTAATTGTTTTGAACACAGCAAAACAAATTATCAAATAAAACGACTAATAAGCAAATTAAGATGAACAAGATAACAATGAAATTAATTTAATAAAAAATTAATTTATGTAATATATAATAATTAATTAAATCAACATTTCTATAGAAATTCATAACTTTAATAATAATTCATAGATGTTTCAACCTATATGAAATCATTATCAATATTATAAACTCTAATTGTTAATATGTTAAAACATTAAATTCACAAGTAAAATGATAATTATAAATGAAAAAACACTCGTTTATAATTATCATTTTACTTGCAGTTTTAATATTTTAACATACTAATGATTAGAGTTTTCAACATTGATAATAACCTCGTATAGATCGAGACTCTCTCTCTCTCTCTCTCTCTCTCTCTCTCTGTCATAAATTATTGTTAAAATAATAAATTTCTGTAGAAACATTTGTAATTAATTATTACATGAATTTATTTTATTAAATTAACTTTATTGGTTTGTAGCTCTTAATTTCATTTTGATTATCAATTGAGTCGTTTGCTTATCTTGTTATTTTATGATCAAAATTAACCTTTATATTAATTAATGGCATTTTTTCCCATTCTTCTAAATTATTCAACTTTTGTAAAAGACGTTTCCCTTCTATATTCAACTTATGTTTGTCTTTCTTAAAATGACATTCAGATTTTATTTGAAATTGTGATGTTTTAATTCTATGTTTTTTGCGAGACATTGAACATCTGCAAATGTATCGAAATCTTCCTTTTCACTAATGGAAAGATTTTGTCACTGAATTTTTAATTATCCTTCCTCATCTTCTTATGTGGTATTTATCATCGTTGATAAAAAGATATCTTTACAATCTTCGAACTTTATTATCTATCAGAATCTAAATCATGTAATAGATCAATATTCTTAGTTTTCTGTATTATATAATTCTGACTTGAAGATATCAGAATCACTATTTATGGTAATTGTCCTCTTTTTTTGTGAATATATCTGTTTGAGCTGTTGAATTTGCACGTTTGTTTAATTTTTTAAATACTGGACTTTTAAGATTCTTTAACAAGTTTTGATTAAATAGGTATATATTCTTATGAGGGCTATTTGTATTTTTGTTTATATATTTTGCATTAAAATCTTGCATTAAAATCTTATCTACTTTGTTAGGTGTATTGTGTATATTTCTATGTAGTAAATACTGTATTATTCTCTGATTCTAAACAGCATTTCATCCTTGGCAACTTATCCAGGAATTTTTAAGTTCTTTATTTTTATGTATCTACAATCAATGTTGTATTTAATATCTCAATCATTAAAATTTTATTTTCCTTAACTTTATTTCTCTTTGTAATGCAAATGATCAAAGTAATCGCATACTGTACTAAATGATGTATCTTTTAATTTTTCCCAACAGTTTTCTTCGTATTTATCTATTAAATTTATTATCTATTTTTTCTAATTTATATAACTTCGATATTTATTAAGAAATGTTATATAAATATTATTGTTAGTCTATTCAGCTAACCGGTTTGTTTTTTGGTTATGTATATCAATAATCAATGTATAAAATAAAATCACGTGGAAACTTTGACTGTGTTCCAAAATTGACTGCCAGTACTGAAAATATCTATTGTGCATGTAATGTAAACTGTAGCATTTTTAGTGCTGGCAGTAAATTTGGAACACAGCCTTTAATAGACCTCGTTAAGATGTCTTTTCATAACGCTGAATTCGGCGCTCATTTTCAGCATTAAAATAGAATATGTGGTCAAAACTGACACTTGATACTTATTCATCAACTTTTACATTAAAAGTAAGCATCGAACATAAAAAGGCACTTTAAGAATTTTAACCTATTACCATGGCTGCGTTCTGTTTCACGCATGATGCGCATGATATATCATTTTATCTTTCTTTAATATTCGATGATCAATAAGGATAAAATGGTATAACATGCGCACTATGCGTGAAACGGAACGAACCTCACGTATTGTAGAACAGTTTATGATAGGCTGAAATTTTTATACTCGTATTCATAGTCTTTAAGGCTTTTTTAAATTTATCTATAGATACTCTACGAATTATTTCATTGGTTGCTGAGCTAAAGATAAAATTAAGAAAGCCTTAAGCCAAGGTCTGATTATGAATATGGACATTCTCTTATTCTCTGTTTTTTATTTAGGCCTCGTGAATCTCATGTGACTTCATGTAATGAAAGTATAGAATTTTTAGTACCAGAGAGAAACCTGAGAGAAGACATGCCGACCCAAAACTTGTAATCGCAAAATGCTGCCGTGCACTACTGCCTCCTGACAAAATGGATGTAAACTACATAACAACGTCTACTTTTTTTTCGGTACATCGTCCACTTTTCAAGGCTGGAGACGATAAATCGATATTTGATTCATACAATATTCATGCTACATGTAATACGATTATATGAATCAAATATTGATTTATCATCTCTAGTCTTGAAAAGTGAAAGAAAAGTAGACGTTGTTATGTAGTTTACATCCCCTTTGTCAGAGGGCAGTAGTGCGTGGTAGCATTTTGCGATTACAGGTTTTGGGCCGTCATGTCCTCTCTCAAGTTTCTCTCTGATACTAAAAATTATATTTTATGAAGTCGCATGATGACATGGTGAAATCCACGAGATCTAAATAAAGAACAGAGAATAAGAGAATAATGCCCGTATTCATAATCAGACCTTGTATTTAAGACTTCCTTAAATTTATTTTTAGATGCTCAGCAGCCAATGAAATAATTCGTAAAGTATCTAAAGATAAATTTAAAGAAGCCTTAAATATAAGATTTGACTATGAATATGAGTATAAAAATTTCAGCCTATCATAAACTGTATTCCACAATACGTCATGTCCTCTTCAGGTTTCTCTCTGGTGTTACACAGTGTCTAATTGTGTCCTTGCTGGAAAGCATTCAAAGTCTTACTACAAATATTTTGAACCGTTTGGTTGATCAATTAAAAAAAAGAAATTTTACAAATTGATCAATCAAAAATTGCTTTAAAGCATTTGTAGCATCGCGTTGCCCTTGAGATTGGCAAATTGCATTACGTGATCCGTCTCCTCTGATTAGACGTGGGCATCAAAGCTCTATAGGCATGAAAGAGAGATTGGAAAAAACTGTCACGTGATCTCCATCCTGATTAGACACGGGTATTCACATGATGTAATTTATCACTCTCTTTCTTTGAGGCTTTCTAGCCTAGCTGCTTTATCAACTTGAATGAGCTCAATGAAAGTACCATTCGTAGATATTTTGC